TGAGAACTTAGAAATGTTAGAGGCATCCAACTTTTAAATGCCACGAAGAACATGGATGTTGGTGAACTGAGTCCTAGGCAAGTGAATGATGATAAAGATGATCAAGTGTAAGTGCTCTCTAATTCAAATGCGTAAGATGACACTAATCATGCAAGTACAAGTGGCTCTCATGACAATATGCAAGATCAACAAGTGGCTAGTACATCATCTCAACCCAATGATCAAGCAAGTGCAAGCAATGTTCCTATTCTTCAACCAACCAATATTGCAAGAGATCACCCATTGGATACTATAGTTGGAGATATCTTTAGAGGTGTACAAACAAGATCAAGATTGGTTTTATTTTGTGAGCATTTCTTATTTGTGTCATCCATTGAACCAAAGAAGATAGATGAAGCATTGAAGGATGTTGATTGGGTGAATGCTATGCATGAAGAATTGAATAACTTCACAAGAAATTAAGTATAGAAGTTAGTGGAAAGACCAAAGAACCACAATGTGATTAAAACCAAATGGGTCTATAGAAACAAGCAAGATCAAGATGAGATTATAGTAAGGAACAAAGCAAGATTGATAGGCTCATTCATTAAAATCAAATGAATTTTGTGGTATCCTAAAGGAAAGTTTGTATGGTACCACGGATTATTATGCAAGGTTCTATGTCAATTGTTGGGAAGACTTGTTTCATGGTCATCTAATGGTATCCATTTGGTAGTTGTTGTGCACAAATTTTTTGGATATGACAAGTTGTGCCATTGCTATGTGTAAGAGGGCCAACAATTGTTCAACATACAAGAACAAAGCATATTGATGTCCGTCAGTATTTTATTAGAGATCCTAGTGTTTGATCTAGACCAAAAATACGCTGCAATAAGTGTTTAACTCAACATGCATACATTCTTTGCTAAGGACATGTTTAGTACAAGATAATCCTTGCAATGAGGTGTGAAGAAGCTTGTTCTTGGATCAACCTGTTTGATCTAGAGTTAAATGTTTCTCAATATGGTACAAGATAATGTTCTAGATTGGACGAGTTAAATGTCTTAGTCAAGTGTTCTAGATTGGACCAAATTTAGAAAATGATCCTCACCCCATTGATTGACATTGATAATCTTAACCTATCTAAAATTGAACCAATTGATGACAAAGGGGAAGAAATTACACAAAGATAAGGTTAAAAGGAGAACTTTGACATAGGGGGAGAAATATGACAAAGTAAAGGGATCAATTAAATTTTGAGCATACAAGTAGGGGAGCAAGCTCATAAACTTGATTGATGCATTTGAATGTGCATTTCATATGTTTGCTTGCATGGCACAAGTTTTAAATTAAAATTCCATGCTTGTGTGGTGTATGCTAATTGTAGGTTCGAATGATGAAATAAAAAATTAGCATGCATAGGTTGAGTAACTAGACTTGAGTTTATCTTAACTAAACCCATGCTTCTAATGTTGATCTCACGGGGTATTCTAGTTTTTGTGAATGTCTAGTTACCAATGGTGCTAAGGATGGTATAATGCAGCACTCCGATTGATATCACGCTTCAAAGGTCCATCTCTTATACCTTAATATCATTTGGTAGACATTACTTTCCCACAACTCAAATCCATGCATATGTACAAGCTTCAATCCAAACTCTTAGCACATATGAAAGAGAGAACTAATGCTACCATTTGGGGTTCATGAAACATGTCCATATTCTTTTACACATGGTAAATACGTTTGGGCAAGCAACATGAATTCAATTGAATTTCAATTTATATCTTTGTGAAAGGGTTGTCATCAATTACCAAAAAGGGGAGATTAAAAGCTCTAGTTTGGTTTTGGTGAATTGATGAAACCCTAAGTGATAACCTAGTTTATCAAAGTGATTATAAGATAGGTGGCACATTCCAAGTGGTGAAGCAAATGGTGATGATCATGATCATGGTGTGACCATGGTGATGATCAAGTGCTTAGTCTTGGAAAAAAAACAAAAACAAAAACAAAAAGCTCAAGGCAAAGGTGAAAACCATAGGAGCTTTTTGGTTTAGTGACCGAGACACTTAGCGAGTGTGATCACATTTAGGATCGATAGTCGTACTATTAAGAGAGGTGAAACTCGTATCGAAATGCGGTTATCAAAGTGCCACTAGATGTTCTAACCCATTGCATGTGCATTTAGGATCTAGTGGAGAGCTAACACCCTTGAAAATGTCTGTGAAAATATACTAACACACGTGCACAAGGTGATACACTTGGTGGTTAGCACATTTGAGTAAGGGTGGAAAAGTTGGAGTTGAAAAGGAGTTGATCGCGCTGGTCACAGAGTGACCGGACACGTCCGGCATGTTACCCCAGCTTGGGCAAGTGTTGAAGAGGTGACCGGACATGTCCGGTATTGGGACCGGACGCGTCCGGTATTTGGCCCGACATGAGCAGCTAAGAAAGAAAGTGACCGGACTCTAACTCAGTTGTGTGACTGGACGTTGATAGTTCACTGTTCATGCGTCAGGTCAAGATGACGTGCCTCGAAGAAGAGAATCAGGAGCGACCGGACGTGCCCGGTCGAGTCCGGTGTGAACCAGTGAGCCTCGGTTTCTTGCGCTATAATTGATCTGACGCTGGGTGCATCCGGTTAGGTGAAACCAGGCGCGTCCGGTCACGTCCGAGCAGCTATAGGAGCTCTCTGGACTCGACCTGACGCTCCCTCTCCTGCGTCCGATCACTTCCTAACGGTGCGTCCAATCAGTTGTGTCAGAGTGTGACAGAGAGAGCCGTTGGGGCGCCAACGGCTAACTCATTTGAAGGGGACACGTGGCTTCACGACAGCGACCGGACGCGTCCGGTCGATGCCCTGACAGCCCAAACAATGAGCCAACGGCTCTATTATTTGGGGGTGTCTATAAATAATGTTTGACCGGCTCTATCTCACTCTCTTGGCCATTTGCATTGATATAGCAACCTTGTGAGCTTAGACAAAGCCCTCCCACTCATCTCCATTATTGATTCATCATCTTTGTGATATTAGAAGAGAATCCAAGTGTATGACTTGAGTGATTGCATCTAGAGACACTTGGTGTTCATGTTTCGCTTCGGGATTCACTCGTTACTCTTGGTGGTTGCTGCCACCTAGACGGCTTGGAGCAGCGAGGATCGTCGAGCGGAGGAAGGTGCTTGTCTCCGGCTCCGATCGTGGTGATTGTGAGGGGTTATTGACATTTCTCCGGTGGAGAGCTAAAAGGTACTCTAGTGGATTGTTTGTGGCTTGTGTGATTCTCATCTTGTGTTGGTTGAGCGGCACCGTATTAAGGGTTTGGCGTGTGATACCAATTAGTGCGTGAACCTCCAAGTGAGTGAATCGTCACAACGAGGACTAGCTTGCCGGTAAGTAAGTAAACCTCGGTAAAATATCTTGTGTCACATTGTCCGAGGATTTCATTGGTTATCTTGTGATTGATTGATCGGCTCCATCTTGTAATTGGCTTATACCTCAACACGTCGGTATAATCATCGTCATCCTCTCTTACATTATATTCCTAGTGTTTACGCTAAACTCTTTAGTGTATTTAGTTTTGAGAGCTATCTTGCGTCGGGTCTAGTGGTTAGTGATGTTGTTTAGTTAATCTTTGAGAGCTCACTAACTTAGTGTAGTGCCATCGCCATTGTGTGGATAGATACTATATCAACTAGAATTATGATATGTGGCTTGCATTTTTAGTAGGCTAGCGCAACACTCGCTTCACCGATTATTTGACTGACCACTTTGCTCAAATGTTGTTGTAGAATTTTTTATAGGCTATTCACCACCCCTCTAGCCATTAGGACCTTTTTAGCTAGGCTCTACTCGTAAATCTAAGGTTTTGGTAGAATGTGAATACTAACATCAGTTTGAAGTACATGAGGTAAGTGGGGTTATCCATATAAAAGACATAAACGCGAGTTATTCAGAAATTTAGGAGTATCACATCATGTATCACATCGGTGTGTCACATGGGAGTGTTTGGATAATAATAATAAAACAAATTACAGAAGTCCTCAATAATCCGCGAGACGAATTTATTAAGCCTAATTAATTCGTTATTAGCATATGTTTACTGTAGCACCGCATTGTCAAATCATGGCCTAATTAAGCTTAAATATTTCGTCTCATAAATTATTCGTAATCTGCAATTAGCTATTTTTTTAATCTATATTTAATACTCCATGTATGTGTCTAAATATCCGATGTGATAGAAATAACTTTAGAGAGAGAAACTAAACATGGCCTCCGTAGGCTCGTGCTGTGCTTTTTGATGGCATGATTATATTGCTCATTGCCAGTCTGCAAACCGAGGGAAAGGTCATCATTCTGGTTGCAGTCCGCCAAGCACGCGCACGGGACAAACGAAAACGCACGAGCCTCAAGCGTGCTGCTGAGCTGCTCCCCTAGCTAGCTTTACTCACTCGCAGGTAAAAACAATACAGCCATACAAAGTCAAACGCCCCTAGTTAATTCAATCAGACAATCAAACATGTTAAAAGAAAGGAATCAATCAATTAAGCCTGCTTTCGAGCAGGTTAAACATACGCGAGTAGTGTCCTTATGTTCATCCAATTTCACTGTCATCAGAGAGACAGAGACCATACCATGAGTGGTGGCCCTGCAGACTGCTTGCTGTTGGGGGTGCCGGCCATTGCCCTGGTCGTCGTCAGCTCGAGACGCCGAGCAGTAGTGGCTCTGCCTCTGCAGGAACGAAAAATATTCTGCCATTGTCGGAGCAAATTCCCCGACAGCCATCACCACGGGCTGCATGCCTGCGTGGCTGTCGGCATGGCACACGCAGGCGCGTGCGCGACGACACCCCCGCGCCCATCGATCGATTTGCCTAGCTGAGACCTTTGTTGCAAGCACAGTAGAAAAGCAGCTATGCTATACATAGCTGCTACCTGCCTAGCAGGAGGGAGCTAGCGGATCGGAAGCGACGAAACCAAGCGCTAGAAAGGAGAGCGAGCTGAGCCCTGAGCTGAGGGGGAGTCGGATGGCGGCTGAGGGGAAGAAGGCGAGGCCGAGGGAGGAAGAGCTCGTGGAGGCCGCGCTGGCCGCGGCGGCCGCAGCGCTGCTCGTGTCGGTCGTTAAGAGGCTGGTGGCGCCGGCCGTGCCCGTAGTAGCGCCGTGGTGGTGGCCCGCGTCGCTCTCGGTGCCGTCGCCCGCGCTGTTCCTGCTCCTCAACGTCATCATCGCGTCCATCGTCGTGGCGTCCGTGCAGCCGCGGCGGAGAGCGGCAGCGTCTGCGGGCGCCATCGACGAACGGGAGGCGCCGGCGGCGCGGGGAGACGCTGCGAAGAGGGCCAAGAGGAGGAGGAGCAAGAAGCGAACGGCGGCCGAGCCCGCCGTTGCGGATGGCTGCTGCATGGCGCTGGTCGTCACGGACGAGCCGATAGAGGAGTTGCCGGCGGCGGCGGCGGCGGTGATGGACGAGGAGGTGGCGGCAGATGAGGAAGCGGCCGGCAACGCGGAGGAGGTGAACAAGCGGGCTGAGGAGTTCATCTCGGCCTTCCGGCACCACCTCAGGGTCGACTCCTTCTCGTCCGGAACCCGGCGAAGCAACGCTAGAATGGCACCATGCTCTTGATACCTTTTGTGTTGCAACCATATATGTTTCTAATCCCCAGTTTCAAAGAATTTTAATTTGTGTTCCAACTTCCAAGATTTCTTTCTTTTTCATTTCAGTTGTAGTTACTCGATCTCTTAACGTCAGTTTGATGGAAATTCGCTCACTTGATTTTTTCAGTGGACTGAGGGAAATGCTCAAGAATCTGATCTATGCACAAGTCTGTGACCCATAAGAACTTAGTAGCCCCCGTTCCTTTTTTTCAAAGAACAATACCATACCCCTCAACTATGCTGGGAGTATATAATACTGTAGGTATTAGAACTGGACCAGACCAAGTCGGAAAGTTATAAAATCGAGAACAAAAACTACATAGGAAATCCCTGAGATTCCGGAGGTATATGAAACTGGACGGAAGCTACCGGCCGGAACCCGGACGAAACAGAACGAAACTGAATTAGGCTCACGACAATTTGTGTCTAATAATAATTGTAAGAAACTCGGTTTTTTTTAATATATATAAGAAACTCTAAAGAAACTCATTTGAGGGCAACTTATACGACCCAAAAGGCCCACCGCCACCAAAAGAACCCGTCCGAAGCAGAAACAGAACAGCCCAGCCCAGCCCAGGAAGTAGTCTTCTAGAGGCTTCCCCCTCCGCAGCGGCGGCAGTAATAAAGACGCACGCGCAACCGTCCCCTTCCATCACGATCGCTTCGCTTCCGCCGCTAGGGTTTCCTTTGTAGCGGTTTTTTCTCTCGAGACACACCACCACCACAGTCCCCACCCGGCGGTCGGATCGATGGCGGCGGAAGCGGCGGCTGCGGGGAAGGAGAAGATGCTGACGCTGATCAGCAGCGACCTCGAGAAGTTCGAGGTGGAGGAGTCGGCGGCGAGGGAGTCGCGGACCATCGGGAACATGATCGAGGACAGCTGCGCCGACAACGACATCCCGCTGCCCAACGTCAACGCCAGGATCCTCGCCAAGGTCATCGTGTACTGCAGGAAGCACGCCGCGGCGCGCGGCGGCGCCGATGGTGGTGATGCGGAGCCAACCGCTGCGACCAACAAGGCATCAGAGGATGAGCTCAAAACATTTGATGCTGAGTTCGTCAAGGTTGACCAGGCCACCCTCTTTGACCTGATTCTGGTGAGGCCCTCCCACCTATTCTCTCCACCCGATAGTTGTTTGGATCTGCTTGTGCGAACTGTTAAAGGATGCTGCTTCGATCCGCTTGTGCGAACTGTTAAAGGTTGCTGCTAGGTTAATTAAGATTAGAAATATGTTGTTTGGAGATTGGCTGCTTGGAAATATAAAGATATTCTGTGTTTGTGTTGCTGTTGTTTCCAGTTAACTGCTAATTTAGTTGCTGGGTTTTAACTACTTTTGTGTAATTGAATTTTCTCCATGTAGTAATTGGTTACCGGTGTTTTATTAGCTTATACGAATTTGAGAGAGGTATTGAATCCACCACATTTTTATCAATGCCACAATATATTTGGAATTGCTCGTTGATGCTTAAGATAGTTTAGCCTATGTTTAATGGGTCGCAATACTTGTTTCACGAATACAGTAGCAGGAAATGACAATTTATTTGTTGTAGGACTGCCATAAAGAGTGATTATATTGCTTTGGATATTTAATTGCTTGAAATCATTGCCTTCTCATGGTTCATCCATGTTGTGAATGGTGTGCATATCGGTACTTTTGTGCTGTCATGTATCTTATGGTTACCTGCAACAACCAAAAGTTACCATGTTCTTGACTATCATACATTAGATCAGGCACTTGGTTTATTTTTACACTTTAATTCTTTGGGATGTAGACTGGGATCATCTTTTCTTAGATACGGTCTTCTTTTATCCTATATGTGAAACTTTTGTTTGCATCCTATGTTATGTGTGGATCCCTATGTATTTGAAATTGTTCACTTGGTAATTAGAGTTGTTTGCACCTATCTACTCACGATCAATGTTGCATGAGGAGTCAATAGATATTTGATTTGAAATTATTCCTAAAGTGTTGTGCCTGATAGATGATGAGCTGGGTTTATACTTTACAATTTAATTGTTTCTTGTTTGTGATGTAGACTGTAATCTTCTTTTGTTGTTTAAGGATCCTAGTATTTGAATCTGTCCACTTGATAATTAGGAGTGGTTTACACCCATCTACTCATGATCAATGTTGTATGAGGAGTCAATAGATATTTGATTTGAAATTATTCTTAAAGGCTAGGGTTTGCCTTGATAAATGATGAGCTGGGTTTATTCTTTACAATTTAATTGTTTCTTGTTTGTGATGTAGACTGTAATCATCTTTTGTTGTTTGAGGATCCTAGTATTTGAATCTGTCCGCTTGATAATTAGGAGTGGTTTACACCCATCTACCCATGATCAATGTTGTATGAGGAGTCAATAGATATTTGATTTGAAATTGTTCCTAAAGGCTAGGGTGTGCTTGATTATGATACATTAGATGATGAACTGGGTTTGTTCTTTACAGTTTAATTGTTTCTTGTTTGTGATGTAGACTGATCTTTTGTTGTTTGAGGATCCCTGGTATTTGAAATTGTCGACTTGGTAATTAGGAGTGGTTTATACCCATCTACTCATGATCAATGTTGTACTTGGATCCATATAGATATTTGAAATTGTTCCTAAAGGTTTGGCTGATGCTTTAGGATAAAGCTGTAATAGTTTATTGTTCATGGTAATACTAGCTTTGCAGAATTTTTTGTTTTGCAATTTGGTCATTTGTAGTGTCAAGAAATAAATATATTGTAGGATTATATTGTGTACTTTCATAGATCATATATATTTAGTGAATTGTTTCATATCATCCGTTTTGCTTGACTGTCCATGCTGCTGCATTCATGGGACGATCACAAGAATACCTGACATGTAATTGGTCTTCACAGGCTGCAAACTACCTGGACATCAAGGGGCTGCTGGACCTGACCTGCCAGACCGTCGCGGACATGATCAAGGGGAAGACTCCAGAGGAGATCCGCAAGACCTTCAACATCAAGAATGACTTCACACCTGAGGAAGAGGAAGAAGTGAGGAGGGAGAACCAGTGGGCCTTTGAATGAGGCTGGAGGCTCTAACAACAGCAATATCGTATAACCAGGCCAGAGAGGAAGTCCTTGTTCAGGATGTTATGAGTTTGAAGCAGCTATAGACTGTCTCGGGTTTAACAAATCGCTTAGAAGGTGTACGTAGGTTTTGTCGGTCGGTCGTGAGCAGACTATTTTGCTGTTCCAGTATTTTGGTGCATTGGATCATTGGATGCTCTTGGTTGCTAAGACTCCTAAGAGGCTGGTTGGTTATCAAGCATTGCTGGTTCTGCATATTTAATTCGTTTCACTGGTTGCTTCGCATCGTGGGTTTTATATTTCAGTTCCGTCTGATGTGTGATAAGCTATTTGCTTATTGTCTTATTTCTCATTTCCGTGCGACGTGTGATAATGTGTTTATGCTGGAATTATGGTGTAGTCTGGTTGCCTACATGGCTAGTTGGCGGTAGTTAATGATCCATTTTTCCACGGTGGAAGGGAATGAAGGCACTTGCTAGCAGATTAGCTGCTTAACCAGCAGCGGTGTTTCGGCCGAGCGTTACACCACCTGTGCAGGCTGACACATGGGCCTCTAGTGCTAATTCTCTCTTCTAAGAGTTATCGCATTGTATCGCAAGATTGCTGCTGTGCCATGTGGATTTTTTTTTATTTTTAACACTTTTTTAAAACTATTTTTAAATTTGACACGGTTTATTTTTTATTTTCAAATCTAACACTTTTGGCCGCGCCTTTTGTTGTGGCGTGGCCAAACCACTCTACCGCGTCATGCATAGCGGCGCGGCAGAAATCTTGACGATAAGCGGCGGCCGGACGACGATGATCGGTGGCGTGGTCGGCTACGCCATGCCATGAATCTTGGCGTGAATCTGCCATCGCCAGCGCGCAGCGGGGCGAACATCTGAGTGTCGCGTCCTCTTTCCTTCACTCTCTCCCTCACTCAGATCCGGTCGAAGAGTTACACGCCGCCACGGCCGCCAGCCCTGCTCTCTCACCGCCACCGCCGGCTCCTCCCTGCCCCCCTCTACCCTCCGCACTGCCCTCCCCTCTCTCCCCTCACTTCCTAGAGTCGGCCGCCATCTCCCCTCACCCCCGCCGCGTTCGTCAGCGCCGCTGGCTGGCCATTGCCGCCAACGACCCCATCTCTCCCTCCCTGCCTCCCTCTTGTCCTTCCTCTCCTGAGCGGGCCCTATCTCCCTTCCTCTCCTCTCTCCTCTCTCCTGACACCCTCCCTCTCCTCGCCGTTGGCCAGCTGTTGGCACTGTGCCAATCTTGGGGTGAGCCCCAATCTTCCCCATAGCTATTGTCAAGGTAATTCCTTCTCCATTGTGTAGCTTGATTCAAATGTTTATTAGTTAGGGTTAGGATTTAAATTTTTTTGACTGGTTAGTTAGGGTTAGGAATGTGATGAGATTATTGTGGTTGTACTATAGTTTGTAGTTGTATATTTAGTTAGTTGTTTTTTATTATTACAGCTAGAATAGGTATTAATAATAGATTGGTTAGTATAGGTACTAATATTAATATAGTTAGTGTACGTAGTTATTATAGTTAGTCTAGTTTAGTTAGTTATTATAGTTATTTAGAATGGCTAAAAGTTAGTATTGAATTGTTGTTGGAAAAAAAAGTCGAACAAGCCATTTTTAAGACAAGCGAACGGGGCCATTATAGTTATTTAGAATAGTTAGTATAGGTGTTAACATTAGATTAGTTTGTATAGTTAGTATAGGTGTAGTTAGTAGGTACGGTGATTTGGATGACTTGATAAAGTTTTCTCAAATGCTTTTGTAGATGGATCGTTGTGTCCGAGTTTTTTACGGAGGAAGTGTTAGGAAATAGGATGGTATGTTTGAGGATATGGAAAAAGAATTGGAATGGTTTGATGAACATCCTAGCTTCAATGACCTTTGAGTCCATTTGAATACAAAGTTTGGCGATGATTTCACACTGAAGGGGAGGTTTGATAGTGGAAAGACTAGGGCACACTATGTCCTGATGCCCTTGCGCGACCGTGCTCACTGGTCCCGCTACAATAGGGTGATCCAAGGTTTCAATGTGCCCATGGCTAAGGTGGTGGTAGAGAATAGGTACAGGATGCAGGGTCTCTAGGACGGGTCGTCCATTGACGTTGTTGGAGGCAATGAATAAGAATTGGTGGTCGAAGGGGAAGCAACTCAGGGTAACATAGATTTGGATGGTCAGTTGACGCGGGAGCAGCTTCATTCAACTCCAATAGGCTGTATAAGCAATGACTTCGATGTGAACGAGTTCGAATGGGAAGAGGAGGAGGAGGAGGAGGACAGGATCGGTGATGTAGTTAGTAGTGATTCAGACGATTCGGATGATGACCAAGGAGGTAGAGATGCTATGCCAACACCGGTTGATGACATGCCAGTACCGGTTCATGCTATGTCATTACCAGTACCAACTAAGGTACTTCATGCTATGCCGGCTCAGGGTAGGCTAGTCACAAATTTGCTAGAAGATGATACCCCCTATGATTCATGGGCTAGAATTAGCGAAGCACAGCAGTACGTTCCACCACCACCTTACACAGCGATAGAGTTTATGCAACTGAGGTCGATGAACGTACCTTTCAGTGGCGTTCTGAACTATAGGGATGTCAGCATGACAGATATGGCAATTTGTGACACCGGTCTGCAGATGTGTAGAAAATCATTGTATGACCATGAGAATGAAATCCTTAGCAAGGGGATGATATTGAATACAATGTCAGAGATAAAGTTGTTCCTTCAGGACTATGCTGTCTATCACCATAGATCATACACCGTCACTCATTCGGAGCAGGAGTTGAGGTACCACGTGATATGCAAAAATGGTTGTATGTGGAGGTTAAATGCATGAAAGAGACAAAGTGATGGCAAGTGGAGGATAAGTAAAGTAGTCCAACCCCACACTTGCCTATCAAATAAGGAGAAGGAAAATCATCAGCAGCTCACTGCACGTTACCTTGCCCGTCGTATATTGGGGCTCGTTGATTACAATAACGATATTTCGGTGTCTTCCTTACAACAGTCCATATCTGGATTCGTTAAGTATGATGTGAAGTATGGAAAGGCTTGGCGTGCTAAGCAAATTGCCTTGGCGATTCGTTGGGGTAGCTGGGAGGAAGCGTACAACAGGTTTCCCCGAATATTATGTGCAATGGGTTACTACAACCCTGGCTTGAAATGGTTTGTAGATACCAGAGGGATGTATTTCCAGAACCCGTTGAGGCATGTCCTGCATCATGTGTTCTAGTCGTTCGCGCATACAAAACATGCATTCCAGTATTATCGGCCAGTCGTACTTGTCGATGGCACTTTCCTAACGGGAAAGTACAGGGGCACCTTGATGATGGCTGCTGCTGTTGATCCGGAGGACCAGATAGTACCCATGGCTTTTGCTTTGGTAGAGGGAGAGAACAATGAATCATGGTCATGGTTCATGCGGCATCTACTGTATAAGTGCTTGGCCTATCTCGCACTATATGTTTGATCTTGGACCGTCATGCAGGGCTTCTTAATGCTGCAGATGAACATATCGATGGGTTCCCGCCTCTAGTGCACAAATGGTGCATGGGACATTTTGCCACTAATTTCTGACGGGGTCAGAGGAAAAAGGTGGTTTGTGACAAGGTAAATGCTCTATGTTGTGTACATATAGAGCACCAGTTCGAGGAGACAAAGAGAGAACTAGACAAGATGCTAAATAAAACGGGCAAGGCCTGGTTAGAGGAGCAAATGGAATAGAAGGCTAAGTGGGCGTTAGCATATGACGAGGGCGGTTTCAAGTATGGCATCATGACCACCAACTCGTCAGAGTTTTTCAACCGTGTATTCACCGGAGTTCGATCGTTGCCAGTGTCTGGAATTATTGAGTTCTCGTTTCACAAGTGCAATGAATATTTTGTCAAGAGGTGGGAACTTGCGCAGAGGAATCTAGCTGAGCTTGGGCGATTTGGAAAGGCCGGAACAGAACATTTGAAGGAGGACGAGGAATTGGCCAAGCAGCATATCGCCGAGCCATATGGGCCTCGCCGGCATGTCTTTAGTGTACGGGGAAAGGGTGGCACAAGCTTGGGCAGCGAACGTTATGGTGGACGGAACTACCGAGTTGATCTTGACAAAGTAGAGTGTAGTTGCAACGTCCTTCAGATCATGCATGCCTCTTGCTCTCACATGATCACGGGCTGCAGGGTCTGCAGATATGACTTCGAGGGTCTGCCATATGTGTCACCCTTGTATCTCTGTTCGAACACCGTTAGTATTTGGGAGAGAAGCTTCGAGCCATACCTTGACCTGACACAGTGGCCCCCTTATCATGGTTATGACTATGTGACGCATCCAGACCTAATGAAGGTAGGGAAGGATAGGAGGAAGAAGAAGCGACTCAAGGGGGACATTGATGCTATGAGAGGATACGACGAAGACATGTATGGAGGGGGAGACTTCAACGAGACCCGTGGTAGGAATCTTTGCTCCATTTGCAAAGAACCTGGTCACAAGGCTAGCAGGCTTAGAAGACGAGGGCAGCAGGTCCATACATAGAACTTGCTTTTTTCCTAGTGAAGTTGTTTGATATGTTTGTTAATGTTACTTTCAATATGTACATGTTCTTTCATATTTTGTCCATGTTGCATAGCATGTAGTTTAAATTTTGCAATGCTACTTAATGTTAATTTCAATATTGAATTATTCATATTGTTTGTTCTAACCCTTTGTTTATCAATTTGAACCAGGATGGCCAAGCAGCATCAGCTATACCCCCTTCTTGAGGTGGGCTACGTCGACGAGCACCGAGCTCACGTGTTGACCAATAGCGATGCAGAGGTGGCCTTGATTCCTTTGAGGCCATGCACGCACAACATGGCACACCAGTGGGACGAGCGTTACGTGTCGTACATACGGTGTGCCGGCTTCCTCGAGCTTGTGCGGGTTGTGAACTCCGGTCTTCCGGCCCTTGACCCCGCACTTCTCACTGCAGCTGTAGACAGGTGCGAGTCCATCTATTCTCGG